AGTCAACGCCTCGGCCTGCTCCCAATTGAAGCAGACTATATGTAGAAGTTGATTTTTCTGACGTCTACTGCCACAAGTAAGCAGACGTTGACGATGTCCATCTATACCTCTTCATATAAACATGGCAGCAGTGTTTTCAATGCTTCAACCTCAGTTATTTCAAATTATGCGCATCACAAAAGATAGCATTACCTAGCTCTAAAAAAGAGAATGGAGATTTCCACATCAGTGAAATTACTATGAGACAATTCATTCCACTTATTTTGACCAAGTTTCATCTGAATGTGTGATAACAGCCGTTTACCTAGTCGAAAAAGTTGACAATCTCTGTTTGCTGCGAAATTTGACACAAACATTTTAGAGTGGTGCTTCACGGAAGCGAAAGGCTAAAGAACCACTTCCAGATTTCACCGGAATTCCCGAAAGACTGAAACATTGGTAAGTACCATCAAATATTATTGCTGGCACTTGTTATGGAGAATATGTTCAGCGATGAATCTATCTGGAAAGACGCTCCCATAGTTTACACTGATGGCGCTTGTAGCAGAAATGGATATCAGGGCGCAAAGGTGGCTTTTCTTGACCGTGCTTCGTTTGTAAATGTTAAAAATCTGCAAATCAAGGCTGGTTATGGCGTGTTTTGGGGTTATGATCATCCCGATAATACTTGTGGACCCGTGCATGGCGCGCCTACTAACAACAGAGGGGAGCTTTTAGCGGTAGATGTGGCACTGAAGCAGGTTTGCTTCTTTTGCGTAAACTAGAAGCTCATGAAAATTGTGTAGATGAAAAATAATTGAATTTTCAGGCTATTCGTAACAATATGTCTTGCATAATTGTTCGCACTGATTCGCAACTACTCATGAAATCACTCGATATTTATATGGAAAAATGGAAGCGGTTGGTAGTTTTTCCTTCTCTACCTTCTGACATCAAAAAAGCTGTTCAGAAAAAAGTGGAAGACCTCTTCTGGTGAAAGCGTGAAAAATCAGGATCTCATTCGTTCTATTGACGACAGCACTCAAAGAATTCATGTGAGCTTTGTGGCTTCTCAATTTTTTCAATTCAATGATTTGCTTCCAGGTAAAGTTTGAATACGTAGCGGGTCACTCTGGTGTAGCCGGAAATGAAGAAGCCGATAAGCTGGCAAGACTTGGCGCACAAATGTATAGCACATTGGCTGA